GTTGTCCAAAGGAAAACATATATTCCTTAGCATACAATGTATGTTTCCTCAATACTTCCTGCACAAATGACAGTTGTTTGCAATGAGAATTTAAATCAGGACTGCATACCAAATTATCATCAAAGAAAATCAGGACAAATTTCCTCAAATAAGCTTTGAAATGTAGCTGGGGCATTGGTAAGGCCAAATGGCATTACCTTAAATTCATAAAGACCCTGGTGCGTTTTGCATGTTGTTCTGTGGATATCAGTTCTGACATCCTAATCTGATGATATCAGCCTTCAAATCGATTTTGGAAAACCACTTAGAGCCATGAAGTTCATCAATTAGTTCATCAATCAAAGGCATGGGATATTTTTCCTTGATTTTTAAACTGTTCGGCTGCCTTTAATCCACACAGAATCTCCAAGTACCATCCTTCTTTTTTACTAACTGTATAGGCGAGGCAAAATGACTGTTCTTTGTTGGATAATCCTTCACCATCCTCTCCAATTTAGTCTTCTGCACATAAGGACATCTATATGGCCTTATTTTAAAAGGTTGTGATCCTTCCTTCAAAGGAATTCTGTGATCATTAAATCTGGAAGGGGTCATTCCTTTTGGTTTCTACAAACACGTCTGGATATTGCTTAAGGATATTCCCCACCTTAGCAGGACTTTGGTTTTTTTCCCTCTTCTTTTATTGCTTGAATTTGAGCTACAATTCCATAAGGTTGCCTGTAAATCCAATGACTCGTCTGTCCTCCTTCCATCATCAGAAATTCTTCATTCAAGACTTCACTTTCCAGCTCCACCTCTATCCCCTGGTAAGAGAACCTGATGCTACCTCATTGGAAATCAAATACCACTGGGTTAAATTGGTTTAGCCAGTCTACCCCCAATACCATATCATTCCCACCTAATCTCAACACCCTTAGCTGAAATTGACATTCCATTCCTTACATGACACTAGTAAGTAGATTACATATAGCGGTACTATGTAGCTTATCTCCATTGGCTACAGTAACTGTCACGGTTTGAGTTGATTCTATTTTACATTTCAACTCATTTACTAACTTCTCATCAATAAAGCTATGGTTTTGCCACTGTCAATAAGGATTGATATGCCCTTCCTCCTCACCTGGCCCAGAATTCGGATGGTTTTAGGTTTCAAGCTACCTGATAAGGCATTAATGGAGATCTCCATGATTTGCTCATCGTCTTCCCCTTCACTTTGCTAAGCCATTTTCTCCTCATCCACTTTCCCCTTCTACTTTGTCATCCACCAACATGAAGTTCAACATTCTATTTTTACATATATGCCCAAGGGTATATTTTTCATCACATCTAAAACATAATCCCATGCTTCTCTTGGTTTGTATATCAGTGAGGGTGAATGCTTTGAATCTTAAAGGGTTGGTTTAGATTTTTTTAGTCTGTTCAGTGCCATTGTTGGGAGGAAGCTTTGGATTAGTTTCAGTGGGTTTTGTGGTAGGCTAGGCCATTTGGAGTGATAATTGAGTTTGGTTGGGTTTTTTGTGTTTTTGTTTAGAGCTAGTAAATTGTTTTCCTATAAGAGGGTCATTTCAAAGGCTTGGGAAATAGAGGTTGGTTTGATGATTTTCACCTCAGATCTGATTTTCTCCTTTAATCCACTAGTAAAGATGGAGATATAATACGACTCAGGAAGGCGGAGGAGACAACATTACCCGAGATTTGAGATCCTCAAAAAGTTCTTGATATTCAGCCACTTATCCACTTTGCTTGATCTTACTGAAAGGCTTCTATACCTTCTTCACCTGTACCCTCCGCAAATCACCTACATACCTCCGTAGAGAACAATTCCCAGTCGGCATTGGGGTTGCTATTGATGAAGCCATGAAACCACACATTTGCTTTCCCTTTCAAATACATCTCGACAACACTTACTCTCACTTCATCAGGAATTTGATGGATCTGGAAATATTTTCGAGCTTTCCTAAACCATTCTCCAGGCCCTCTTCCATTAAAATAAGGGAAATAAATCTTAGGCAACTTAACTCCTCCTCTCATCTCACTCCCATTATTACTACTTTCAGACGCTGATCCCAGGCGTGGTGTGAATAGTCCTTCACCATTATAAATCTGAACTCGTGAACTCATTTTCTGTTTGTCTTTAGGTTCTCCCTTTTGTCCCATCATTTATACCATAATTGTTACAAATTATTCATGCTTAGAATTCAGTTTCCCTATCATTACCTCCATACGGTCATGTTTGTTACACAAGGCTTTCAATGTTTGATATGAGGTCTCCACTTTGTTATCCACTCCTTGGAGAGTTTCACCCAGATCTTCAACTTCCCTCTCCATTTTTTTGTGTTCCTCTACTACTTTAGCTCGAGTATCCATTCCCAGAATCGAACTTAGCTCTGATAACACTTGTAATGATTGATTAAATCTTCAATCAAAACCAACTAATCCTAGCAAATTACTATGCAATTCAATCCACAACTCACAAAATTAGCTGTAATTCAGTACCCAAAATCGTAACGATATTTAACTAAAATATGATGAACAAAATACAGATGAAATCGAGTAAAAAGTGAGGGAGAATTTCAGAGGGAGTGGGAAAGAAAGGAAGTCAAATTTTGACATTCAACAACCTTCCTCCCTTATTCGCTCCTACGATTTAAGTAATACAGTAAAAAGGTGTTTTAAATTAATAAAAACGCAATATGCTAAAACAATTAAATTGAAAGCTAAACGTCGTCGTCTCTGGTTTCAAAATTCTAGTAATGCCGTTGAGATCTTTTCTTCTTCTTTCCCCAAGTGCTTCCTTCCAACAGCTGATTGTGACAGCGATCTAGACCACTAAATCACGACCGAATTTGAAATGTTGCGATCTAATGGTTGAAATGAATTTGTGCCAAAAGATGCGACCGTTAGAAAGAGAGACATGAAAATTTATAAGTAGAATCCTCCTAATTTCATTTTCTTCACTCTAAATCAATTCCATATAATTGATTTCTAATTCTTTCCTTCTTCAAATTATGTCAAAATATTTTTTAATTTCATGCTTGATATTTAGTATTCGATATGTTCCGTTCTAGAATAGTATAGTTAAGATTTGATTCTTTCAACAAAATTAATATTGTGCTATATTAATTTTAAAGAGGCGCACAATATTAATTTTAAAGAGGCGTTGTCTCTTGAAAGACTAACAGCATAGCAGGTACAAATTTATCTGTTCCAGTAAGGTGGACTTACATCTGATGCATTATTTCATTGTCACGATCAGAACTGCTGGGCCTGAGCCAGAAATAAAAATGTAAACACAACAAATGGCTTCCATATAGTACTTCGGTGAAACAATAACATGAACATCATTGCAATACTCAAATGTAGAACTTCAACTAGACAATTTCCTAAATGCATGTATTAAGTCAGAACTCTAGTTGGAATTAGCTTAGGGATCACCTTCAAAACGTCTTACAGAATATATAGAACTTAATGTCTTCCATGACAAGAACTTGATGCACAGACTAAAATTTTTAACCCGAGCCACCATTTTTCTCAGAATTTTTTTTTTCCTTATATGGATAATTTGTATTCAGAGTTGGATTTTTCGATGGTTTGGCCATTTCTCCAGGGAAGGTATACAAAGGCTGTATATCAGATGGTCAGCACATTGCAGCTAAGCACTTAATAAATGATGGTCATATGGAAACATTTGTTAGGGAAGTTACAAGCCTAGCGCACATCAACATCCTAACCTTGTAGCACTATTTGGTCATTGTGATGCACAAGATGAGTGCTTTTGTGGTTTATGAGCTGTCACAATGGGAACCTCTCAGAATGGTTGTTTGGTATTATTTCTGCTTTTCTCCTTATTTTAGAAGTCAAGTTTCATATCGAGATTTTCATGTCCCCGCAAACATCTTTAAACAGGTAAAGGTAAAATTTTGACTTGTATTCAAAGACTTGAAATTGCAGAAGATTGTGCCCTGAAGGCTGCATTGTTCATTGCGATATTAAGGTAAACCTGTCACTTTTTCACACAATTTTCTTCTGTTAAACGTCTAATTTTTTTGTCTTTATTAAATTGACCTAATACAGTCCACAAATATCCTTATCTGCACCAACTTCTAAGCCAAACTGTCCGACATCTATTTATCGAAAGTTATCTCAGTTGGCCATTCCTATTTGAGCTCGGAAATACGAGGAACATTTGGTTATGTGGATCCCGAGCAAAGAAGCACCACCATGTTAATTCTTCAACTGATGTTTGCAGTTTTGGAATGTTGCTTCTGCAAATTTTATCTGGACAGTGATATCAACATGGATTTGACAAGCCCAATGCCGTTGAGCAAAATGGTAGAAATAAGTCTGTCGATATACAGTTTTTCAATATCTTCTGAGATTATTCTATTAGGCTTTCTATGATTAATTTCACTAATGAATCTAGGCTAAGAACCTCAGAAAGGGCGGCATGTAACAGAATTTGCCAATCCCAAATTAAACGGGGAATATTCAGTCGAGGCTTTTGGACTTGTATTCAAGCTAGCTTTGTCTTACACTGCCCTAAGCAACGGCGGTCATCCATGGAACAAGTCGTTTCAGCTCTTGAGAAAGCACTTCAAATTTCGAGAAAGTGAAGTTCTCTAAACCTTCATTTGAATCCATTTAGAAGACTACTTTGTTGAAACGGAAAATTTTTTTTGTAGGGACAATTTCAATACTTTCATTAGTAGAACGGGAGAATTATGATAATCAAATGCCAAAAACAAAGATAGTATAAATATTAGATAAACTTTCTTTTCTTGAAACAGAAATTTATATTGAAACGTTATTAACATTATTAACGGTAAATTCAACAGGTTTTTGTACACAGCTTCATCAAAAACCAGAAGCGTTTTAGTGACTAGCTCTTAAAAAATCGAGCTACTGTCATGAAATAAAATATACGAGTGTGCTTATATACTATATATATGTAACAGATACTTGTAAAGAATGGATGAGTAGCCAAAGAAAAAAAGTATTGGCTACCACACGTGAATGAATTGTTCCGGTGGAAGGCCTGGAGCCATCAAGCTGGAGGAGCTCTTTTCATTGAAGGTGTGTAGGATTCTGATGAGTGAACTGGCTTTCTTTCTTGCTCTGGCCGTGCCATCGGTGAGTAGAGAATATAAAGCTACCAATAGAGACTGGTTCTTTGCTAAAAGAGGAACCACGTCCGCACCATCATTGATGCACAAAGCAAGTAACAATGAGACGCAGTACTCTTTTGCTGCTCGGCAATTCAGAGAGCTCAGAACCTCGGCAATTACAGGTAAAGTTCCTGCACTTATAATGGCCATTGTTCCATCAAGTTTCTCAGCAAGAGTTGCTAAAATTGCTAGTGAATCCGTTATAAGATCTTCCCTCCGGGAAGATGTCAACAGATTAATGAGTAAGGGGATGAATCCGACTGCTAGCACTCGCCAATGGTTTTCAGGGTTCATAAGTAGGCCGAATATTGTGACCAATGCATTCTTCTTGGCACGATCAGGCCCGTCCCTGACCAGCTCCTTTAGAGCCGGAATAGCATTCGGAATCTTCCCTATCATTTTGCGGTACTCCTCGACTGAAGCAAGGTAGAACAACGTGCCAGCCGCGTGCTGGCGGGCTTCCATCCTCAGTCCCTTGTTTAACACCCCGACTATCAGGTCCAATCCTCCACTCTCAATCATTATCCTCTTGCTTTTCGAGGACTTTGAGAGATTCATCAAAGCTGCAATCGCGTTCTCTTGTGCTGCAGGATTACTTGAACTGAGAAAATTCAAGAGAGAAGGGATTGCATCAGCTTCCACCAAACAAGACCTATTAAAAACGCTTGTTTTGGTGAGCAGACGAATCTCGTAAGCAGCCTTGTGCTGCTCTTCGCTTGTTCCGGCCATGAGCCTGACTACAAGGAAACTTGCAAGCAACGCCGTAACTTGCTCAGCTATGGCACTGCCTGCACCAGGTGACCTCGTAATATCATTATTATGCCCACCAGTCTCTACAAATGGGATTCCATTTTCCGAACAATATTGTCTGATAAGTCGCTTAAGAGCCAAATTCGGAACAAGATCTACCGACATAAGCCTCTCGCCCGTCTTTGGACAGGTATGATTGCCCGACTTAAACCATCTCATGATCGAAGACCGATCATATGTGTGCCCTGTTGATATTGTTACTGGATCAATCATGATTTCCAGTGTGATTGGACACCTTAGATCATCAGGATTCAAGCACCTAATCAGATCACTGATGCAGCCTCCACCATCAGATTGTCTGATTGGTGCACTGTCCACAACACTAAAAAGGGTGCATCTGCAGTAGATCATGAATGCCATTAGACTACTGAGAAATCCCACATCTCTTTTCTCAGAAGTTAAACACTCCTGCCCTATCTCACCTTCCAAGAACTTGACTTCTTTATTGCATTCGGCCCAACTTCGTATACCCAAATATTCAAGAACCCCCATTAAATTACTCGATTCGGGAACAATTCCGTTCCCAAATCGATCTAAAACCCGAAGAACTTTCCGCGAAACTCGTCTATCATCCACGTCCACATCAATTTTTTCCCTAAGTGCTTGCCTTCTCACAAACTCGACCAATTCTCTAACTTCAACACAAACATCCAATCTGTCCAACGGTAAAACATCCAAAGCCACCGCGATAGATCTCATCAGCACGTGAAACTGAGTCGAGACATTTTCCGACTTCACCAGCATCCATATCCTACCATCGTCTCTGCTACAATCCTCCAACAGGAATTGTACCTTTTGGAAGATGAAATGAAGGTCAGACAATACTAAAACCAAGGTGCTTGCATTTCTTGAATTCCCATTTTGCATTTCTTCAAGAAAAACAAGAAAATTCTCAATCAAACGGATCGAGTTTCTTGCATTTTTCTTGTTTGTAAAAAAAGCTCTTGACTTGTATTCACGTATGGCATGACAAAGAACAACTAAAGAGTTCACAAGGCTAGAGAAACAAACCGACTCATAGGGACGAATCGCCGGAAAATTCAAAATCCGGCGAGTATATTCCTTGGATTTATGGACCATTGAGTAACAAAGAACAAAAATTCAGAAGGGAGGATAAAGATTAAAGAATGAAAAATCAAAAAAGTGTACAAGAATCAAAGAAAAGTGCGTGTCGTTACTGATTTAAATGGTCTTGGTGACTTGTTTTGTTGTGGTGGATATGGCATTGGCCATATATATAGGCTATAGATAGTTGACTATGGGAGGACACATGGCGCCAGGACATGTGGTGATATATGGATATTTGAAAAAGGCGGCTTCATGGAGATTGCCATGAGCAAATAATAAATTGACACGTAGTGGGAGTAATACGGGTTCGTGGAATAACGTGTAGCCGACATTTTTGCAATTAAACGTGTGACATTATTGGGTAAATATCATTCATGGTCACTGAACTTTCAGCGAAATCTCAATTGGGTCATTAAAGATAAATTTATCTCTCTCAGGTCTCTGAACTTTAATTTAATAACATCGTTTTAGTTGACAGTCATATCATAATTATCTTTCACTGTATATCACCCTAGAAAAGATTAAAAAATGTTTTTTTTTTTAATATTTATAACTTGACGTTGTAGTAAGTTAGTGCATAATTCATTGATTACGTAAAAGTTCCATTGCAATATGGTTGTCAATTTTTTCATCAATTTGGGAGACAGCATGAAACGTAGTGGTGAAATTTGGAACTAAATTGAAGTTTATTGACCCTAATGAAATTTTGCCAAAAGTTCGATGACGACAGGTGAAATTTTTCCAAAGTTATTACTTATTAGCATCTATCTATATGTAAGAATAAACTGTAGTTCATATGCTTTCTTGTGAAGTCAATGGCCATTATCAATGACTTATCGAAGTATGATCATAATGAAAAATTCTAGGAATAATGTTAAAAAGAGTATTTTTTATGACATTTGCAATGGTTACTCAATAATTTTAGATTGCTCATAGGTGTCTAGATGTGTAAATTACTAAATTTGAGTTTGATGTCGGCCCTTGCCATGGCCAACTTATCTTGAGAGGTGGGCTGGTCGGGGCCCTTCTGTTTTCTAAGAAAATCAACCGAGAAAAACCAAAAAAAGTTTGAGTAATGTTATTCATCCCCAGTGGCGATGAAAACACAGTCTATATGGCATTAAATGATATGTTAAATGAAAGGTGAAATTAAATGACTTATTTAATTTCACCTAACATTTAATGTCACATTAACGCCACGTACACTGTGTTTTCATCCTCAGTGGGGATGAATAGCATTACTCAAAAAGTTTTATAAAACCTTAATGACTCGCTTTTCCATATTAGCCTCTCTCTTGCATGATCTAGATTCTAGACAATTGGAATTAATAAAAAAATTGTGAGTCATAGGAGGCTTATAGACGACTAGCGAAGTTCAAAAGCGTTACAATGTGATCTACTTTACATCATTCTATCATCTAAACACCCCTGATAATTGTTTGTGAAATCTCAATTAAAAAAAAAAAAAGTACTTTTGTTATAGTTATCACATGAATTCACATGGTGTTACGTGCATAAGTTTTTGGACCATTATAAAATCTAGACAAGCAAATGAAAGAGAGACAACGTAAGACCTATATGTATTTAGGCCCCTGTTTGATCCATATTATTTTTTTCATTCTCGTTCTTCTACTCATTTTCAACCACACATTTTTCAATAAAATAATATTTTTCATCACATCGATAACTTTTCTTTATTTTTTCAACCACACATTCCTTATCACATCACTTCAAAAAAATGTATTCTTTCATTTTAATGTGCATCAAACAGGCTCTAGGTGTAAAATACAATAAAAAAAGGGAAAATAGTAGTAGCGGTACTTAACTTTTAAATTTTTGCAAGCTTTACCATAACCTTCAATTTGTGCCAGCGAAGATCCCTGATTTTTCATAAATATACAGTAGAGGCCCAAATGAATGGAAATCATCTACTTAACTGTTAGTTGATAAAAAAAAAAGTCAAATTTTGATTAATTTAAACCAAATTAAAGAGGATAAAATGGCCACTTTACATGTTATCCTTAAAATAAGTTAAACATTAAAAAAAAAAAACCCTCATCTTCCACTCACCCCCACCCTGAGGAAACACCAGCCACCATCAACCACCGAATCTGAAACCAGAAAAAACACTAACCACCACCAGCCTTCCAATTTGTCAGAATTTCATCCCCTAGACGGTGATCTCATTTCACAAACACATCTCACACAATTAATTGGATAAACATCACATAGAGATCAAAATCAACTTAAAACCATGGTAGTCTTGCAGTCCAACAACAAAATTCGATAACTCCGATAACACTCACGATTGTGCACCACTACTAGCCGATTCGCCTCACCTAGGTGCTCCAATTCATGGTGAGACATCATCCAAAACAACTCCGATTAATACAGATCTACCTTGGGAGCAAAACGAGGCAGTCTCGTCTCCTTCAATTAACGAATTTGGAGCTCTTTTTCTACTAAATTGGCAACCCACAATCCCTCAACAACACCGAACGATGATAGGTTATACCCTCAATTGATCCAATTGTGTCACAAATTACTCCAATTTCGGCTTCAAGTTCTACTCAATTACACACACAAATGATCTAGTTTCTTCAATTTTTATTGGGTTTGATTTGATTTCTGGTTTTGATATTTGGGTGGTGATGACTGTCTTTGGGAGGCGGTATCAACGTTGTGGCTGGGACCATCCTTTGTGCCCACGGGTGTAGGTGGGAGTTGGAAAAGAAGGTGTTGACCACTGCCCTTTCTAATTTTCATGAGGGTAGGGTGTGTGGGGTAGGGTTGGTGGAATAAATTTCTTTCATTTCTTTTGGTTTTTTCATTTAAGTTTATGCAAAAAATGTAAAATTACCATTTTGACATTTAAAAATTAGTCACAAATTGTGGTCAAGGTCAAATTTTTTGTCAACTAACGGTCAAGTTGATAGTTTCCATTCATTTAAACCTCTACTGCATATTTATGAAATGTTAGAACCTTCGTTTGCACAAATTTAAGGTTAAAATAAAGTCAACAAAAAAGATTAGAAATCGCTACTACAATTTTCCATAAAGAAAAATGGTACGCAATGTTTTATAAAATTTTCCATTTTAAATATTATAACGTTAGAAAATGATTGCGTGTGGCGCCACCCATGCATGCCAAAATGAAATGTATATTTTTTGCTACATGTTTGATGCAGTTTGTATGAGTATGTGCATCACGTTAACAGCTGTAGTTGAATTTATTTGTTTTGCCCATACTCGGTTATCTAATGCAAACCCTCTCGAGTATGGGTCATAATAGTGGCGCCTAGTCTGAATCGGATGGCAGAAAATGGCAAGACCCAAATTGACAGTGTAACAACCCAACCTCCATATCATGAACTTATTACGTGTCTGTTTTGAATGAATATCTATCCTCTTATTTTATAATTAAACATTTATTTTATAACACGGGCTATGTGCCCAAATCGTAAACTCATATGTTGTGACCTCTTTGGGAGGACATTTGCCTTCTTGCCCCACAGCTTTCTTTTGCATATTAATATTCGAACTCAAGACATGTACCTTAAAAAATACTTAAATTAAATCTTAATAGCAATTGAACAATATGTTCTTTATAACGATCCAGCCCTTGTGCACAAGTTTTTAACTCATACGTAATCCAATCCAACCTTCGTGCACAAGTCGTACTATCCGTTTTGGGAAAACATCCGCTCTCTTGCCCCTAACGGATTTATTTTGCTTTCCTAAGGGCTTACTTGGGAGTTCCGACGTACCAGTTATGCATGTTTTATAAAGTACCGATTTTAAGCATTTATAAATTGACTGGTTATGAGTGGTTTTAGTAGCGATTTTTAAAACAGTCCAACCCTTGATTGTGAATTTATTATCCACCGAATCTATTTTTTTTTTTTAAAGAAAAGTTCCATGTATGTCCCTTAGTAAAATTTTGAATTTATGGTTTCCTATATGAATTTTTTTACTTATAAGCGATATTTTACTTGTATGTAAGTTTTTATACATATAAGTTAATATTGAACTTAAAAAGTTAAATGTTTACTTGAAATTATATGTTAGTATTTCTTAGTTATATATAAACTTTATAATTATAAGTTAATTTTGTACTTTTAAATCATTTTTACATGTAAGCTATTTTTTTTTATTTATAAGTTACTTTTTATATTTTATGAGTATTTTTTGTTTTATTAGTAAGATTTTTACACAAACAATTTTTTAGTTTAAAAGTAATTTTTTAATTATAATATAATTTTTTTGCTTACAAATAAATTTTTTAGTTAATCTTGAACAAAATATGTTTGTTAAAAATAATTCTTATGTAAATGGTAAAATTTGAAAAGAATTTGAAAAACGACCAAATATCGTCAATTTGGTAGATTAAGAGAACTGATCAAAATTACAATACAACGTTTTTGGGTGATTTTTGAATCATCCAAAACCTATGCCCAAAAAATCTGACAAGCACCGGTTCTTCCAACTCATACACAATGTCACCCAAAATTGATCAAAACTGGTGAAAATAACTCTCAAACAGACCCTAAGAATTGAACTTAAGATCGGTCTTATGGATACTTGAATTAAATCTTGGAAGAAGCAAAATAAATTTGTGAAAGATAAAAGTAAAAATATTCTCCTAAAGCAAACACTAAAGGTGTGTTTGACATCCATTTTTGAAGATAAATTTTTTTAGAATAGTGATTGATGAGAGAATGTTTGATAGAAAAGTTATGAAAAGTTTCAGATTTGTGTGTAATATTATTTTAGTAGAAGAATGTGTGGTTGAAATGAAGTAAAAAAAAATATGATAATGAGAATGAGATAGAGAATGTGTGCCAAACATGGGCTAAGTATGAGTCAACGATTTCAACATAGGATAATTGCTGATTGTGATGCTCGATAACACATAAAAGAGATTGCAGGAGAGAAATTATCGTGTACAGCCTAACCACTTATCATCCATGCAATTCGTACAATTCACAACATATAAGCACTTAAAAATAGTATAAAACAAGCGCTATTATTGTCATCATCATAAATATATACGAACTTTTTTATTTATTTGTTTAAGGGGGATATGAATACAAAGCCTCACAACCATGCTGGATTCTTCAATTGCGTTACTACAGCCTTCACTTGCAAGTAATTCTTGAGACTGTATTCTCCCTTCTCTCTTCCCTGTCCACTCATTTTGTACCCTCCAAATGGAATAGTAGCATCAAATGTATCGAAGCAGTTAATCCAAACCGTCCCAACTCTCAAAGCGCGCATCAATGTGTTAGCAGTATCAAGGTTATGCGTGAAGACACCAGCAGCCAGACCATACCGACTCGCATTTGCTCTCCGAATCACTTCATCAAGATCCCTGAAATGATGAGTGAGTAACTCGAGATGTAGGGTTATAAACATCCTATGTAAAGAAAATCATTGCAACGTACTTGAATTTTAAAACAGTCTGCACGGGCCCAAAGATCTCGTCCTTTGCTATCAGCATGTCATCCTGGAAAATATTAACTAGTAAGAATGATATATGGACTTCATTACGTGAAGCTAAAAAATTAGTAAAACTACTTTCAAGTAACTTTTTAATCCGAGCATGTTTGGACAACATACTTTTTTCTGACTATCAAGTAAAGAGTTATGGTCCATAGAAAATTATTTATTTTAGAACTTGCGTACAAATAAACTTTACAAGATTGACCAAACATGTACTGCTGTAAGGCGATATACCTTAACATCGGAGAAAACAGTGGGCTGAATGTAGTAGCCCTTCGCCCCAACTCTATCACCTCCAGTTTCGAGGGTAGCTCCACTGTCCGTACCAGATCTAATATACTTCAGAATCTTTTCAAATTGCTCTGCATCGATCTAGTGTTCATAACATTTAAGCATTAAGGCTTTCGGAAAAGAAAGAATGAATTATCATGAGTAAATAGTAGATGCTTCATGCTAAAAAATGCAGTAATTAATTATGCATATAATTTGTACTTTTACATTTTACTTATTTTTATTGTCTATTTCAATTGCAGGTGTATTGATCTACATAACAAAAGTCAAGCATACACAGTGGGTATGGTGTACTACAGGTCAACTCTCGAGCAAGGTGCAGAATGAAAGATCAAATGTCAAACATGAAAGGATCTTATAAGTCTATCAAGGATCTCTATGCAAGCAAGTCTTAAGGGTATATTTGGTGCATAGTATTAGATAGCACTGAACAAGACAAAAGATAACTCCTTTATCTAGTTCAATCCTATTCAGCGTCGCTGAGTACCAGTTACCAAGCATGCCTTAAAAGCTTACCTGAGGACCTTGTTCCATGCCAGGCCTGAAGGGATCGCCAACAGTGCGTTTTAGGGCACGTGCCTTTGCTTTCTCCAAAAATTCATCATAAACTTTCTCGTGAACAAATGTGCGGGAGCCAGCACAGCAACATTGTCCCTAAACAAGTTCCATTTCAAATTAAATCTATGTTCCGCCATTTCCAACCCCGTTCAAGAAAGAAGAGTATGTGCAGGGTGTATACCTGGTTGAAGAATAGAGCATAATGCGCTAGCTCAACTGCCTGGTCCACATCAGCGTCCTCACACACAATGAAAGGAGACTTCCCTCCGAGCTCCAAAGTCACTGGCTTCAGATTGCTTTTTGCAGACAATTCAAGTATGACTTTTCCTGTTTCTGTTGATCCAGTGAAAGCAAGCTGCACAAGTAGAGAAAGCCGTATCAAAGTGTTCAGAAGTATCATAAATTGATGTTGTCCAGTTTCATGCAGATCGATATGGATAGTTAATTTTCGAAAACCTTGTTAATGCATTAGAATTTATTTGCAGTATAATATTCAACTTGTAGTTTGTGTAATAGTTCCAATTTTTGACTTATGACCTTGGCCTAGTAGTCCACAAAATGGACTGAATATAGGCATTTGAGAGAAAAGGTCAATAACTATAGAAATCAGTGGCAAAGCCAAGACTCAGAATTAGTGGGGGCCTAATTTAGTTACAGAAAAAGAAATTCGAACACAAAACATAACAATATTAAAAATGAAAATAAAAAAGTCATTTAAAAATAAATTATCAAATTTCAATGGGGTTCCCTCCGCTACTGATAAAAATGCTTTGACATTGAACATTATGCCTAAGGTGACAAGGTCTGAACCACCAGAAAACAGACTCTCAATATCAGTATAGAATTACACAAACAAGGAATTTTGAGCCAAAATTCATTTCTCAGTAATTTAGTTATTGTTATAGACCATAAGGATGCATATTCACAATTCAGAGTCCTTGGCAAACTCTAACTTGTAAAGAGTGAGGTGAAACATTTATAAGAGATTAATATTACCTTGTCCACGTCCATATGACTGCAAAGAGCTGCGCCAGCTGTGGGACCAAAGCCAGAAACTATGTTCAGAACACCAGGAGGAAGGCCAGCCTGTTCAGAAATAATGAGAGGTCTCAACCATCAAATAATTAACATCAATAATATCGGAACCCAAAAGACATTAAAAAGAAAAGTTCCACATTCAACAAAGGATGCAATAAACACGAGTATTGATAAAGAATTACATGAATGCCATCAGTGATACTCGTAATACGGGTGAAACAAATAAAGGAAAATGTTTTTAAATAAAGATCATAGAAATTATTTCTTCACTCATAGAGGTTTAATATGTATCTTCTGTAAAGCATTTGATGATAACCTATGGTAAACAGGATTAGATGCTCGAACCTCAACAGTCAAGAACCTTAAATAAGACAAATTACCAGGCCATTTAACTTGTTCTATTGGTAATCGACCATTGCTGGGTATCAAGAGAACGATTCAAGAAAAACCATTCTAATAATGAAGTAAAGGAGAAAAGGGTATGCATACAAGATTACCTCGTGGAATAGCTTGGCTACGTGGAGAGCAGATAATGGTGTCTGCTCTGCTGTTTTGAGAACAACAGTGTTACCACTTGCTAGTGCGGGCCCAACTTTCCAAGCAAACATGAGTAGAGGAAAGTTCCATGGGATGATTTGGCCAGCAACACCAATTGGTTCATGCAAAGTTTGAACATGTTGGGGCCCATCAGCAGGAATGGTGAGTCCATGAATCTTATCGGCCCAACCTGTAGAATAAATGAGCAGGAATCAAGGAACTTTGACGAGTAAAGCAAGACAGCAACATTTGTTCATGACCTACCAGCGTAATAACGAAACAGCCGAACAAACATTGGTACTTCAATTTCAGCAGACTGTTCATATAATTTGCCATTATCCCAAGTCTCAAGAGCTGCAATTTCATCATTATGCTTTTCAACCAAATCAGCAAACCTCAAAATTATCTTTGTTCTTTCCTGTGTGTAGTAACAAATTACATCAGATATACTCTTTCCTCTGTAATGAACTGAAGATCGTAAAAGTTAAACTGGAGAAAGAAATAGTTACATAAGCAGTCATCTTAGGCCACGGTCCTTCATCAAAAGCCTTGCGAGCAGCAGCCACTGCTCGATTAATATCTTCTGCCTCACCTTCAGCAACATGTGTAATTATCTCCCCCGTCCTTGGGTCTAGAGTTGGAAAAGTTTTGCCTAATTTGAGAAAGCTTGAGGTGTTAGTTCTAGCATACGAAAGACATGTTACAAAATTTGGAAGTACAATAACAACCAAGAAATTATGGACCTGGTACCTCTTCAGTTACTACATCAGTTAAAAGAGGTCATGCTTCTACAAACAAGGAAAGCAGTAAAAATACTCACCAGATGCTGCATCAACAAATTGTCCGTTGATAAGAAGCTTATTGTATTCTACATTGACTGGTGGCTTGATTGGATCCTCCAAAGCAGCAGCTGTGCTGTACTGGTAAATTCCTCTGCCCAGATAAGATTTTTGTCCTAAACAAAATAGTTTGTGCTTCAGTGTAATCGACACACACATAAAACTTACATTTCTAACACCAAAACTAGTAGAAACTCACCAAAACAAATAACAATCAAAATCAAAAGTGGTCAGAGTAAATTTGAAGACTCCAAAATCCGAATGCGGGCTAAAATTTTAATACATCATTATAGCTTACAAATCACAATAAAATTTAAGAAGCAATCCATTATATCTGTCAACGGAGTCCATCTCATACTTTCCATAGAAGCAAATACCATCCACTAAATGTTTTATGCTCTTTTTCTGAATGCATTATCAAGCTACCATGTTGTCAAAACACTTTTGAGAGCCTTAATTAAATGCTACATACAGCAAAGGGAAAAAGTACAACCAGCATGCATTTGTAATCATACAGTTAGCCACACTCAACTCTGTAAATCTTCCCGCAACAAGTTTTGAATTTCCTTCTATGCAAATGAGTAAAAGACACATCTTTAGTAAACTGCCAACGTTCAAATATCATTTAACTGCTATAAATTAAAACACCAAAACAATTGCCAACAAACACATCCACCATTTTCAGACACTCAAAAGCTCAGTAAACCCCAAAAAAAGAACGTAAAAAAGCTCCTAAACCAACAAGTTACCGACATAAATCAATACAAAAACTTATCCATATACCTATCCGAATAGTAAAGAAGGCCCAGATTTTCTCAGAATAATCACAAATAAAGATTCACATATATAATCATCTTATCCATATACCTATTCGAGGAAGCGAGCGAGAGAAAAGAGATGAGATTCTCCGAGCAGCCATCGCCAATCCAATCAGTGGAAATCCCAGTCAAAAGCCACCAACAATCAATCCAATATATTGGGTATTGAAACAAGTAAAAATATTGAAAATATTATATTCCAGATGAGGTCCTCAGACTGTTGAAAATATAACAAGTAAGTCCTTCATCTAATATTTTGACAGTCTCAGTCCCCAATCATTTTTTTTGTAATATTTAGATACCCAATAGTTGATCTTATGATTGCATTTATTCTCTCTCCAATTATCTTCCCTCCACTTTCAAAATTGAGAAATATTAAGTATGGGAAGCAACGAGTGTCATGGATTGTCTTTCATATACATTAGGATATTAGAACAATAACGACTGATTAATACTCGAGCTGACTAATTCTTTCTAAATAGGATTTAAAGTTATCAATATATTTGAAGTCTATCGATTTTGATTAAACAAAAATAATTAAATAAAGACAAAAACTAAAAAAGAAAAGAAATACCATTCAACCCTTATAATCGCTCTCAATTTCGAATGAATAACTTGTCCCTATTATTTTCATTTTATTTTCTTATTTTACTTAATTAAAGCTAAAATAAAATCGTCTTTTAATTTAATCAAAGATAAAGGTAATGCTATCAAAATAAAACCCATATTTTGAGCCTCTAACCCTCTTTTTTTTTTTTTTGTCAAAAATGTATTTTGAAATAATTATTTGATGGAGAATGTGTGGTTAAAAAATAAAGAAAAAAATTTGAATTTGCATGTAATAATATTTTATTAAAAAATATGTTGTTGACAATAAGAAATAGTAAAAATTTATTTTAAAAATAATGAAGATCAAATAAAAGCTTTATTTCGCTAAAAAAATTAATAAAAATTTAAGTTAAAATCAACAATTAATTTCAACCACACATTTTACGAAACTCACGACCTTCATCAATTTTCATTCATACATTTTATCAAAATCTACTAAAAAATCTGATTTTTAGCTAAATCAAATGGGGGCAGAAGTTGAGAATCGTAGCTGCCAAAATAATAAGTTGAAGGACTAATTGCTACATTTTCAACATGTTAGAGGTCCTAATGTAATTTCCCTCCAAAAAATTTTCATCAATCAATGGATAAGAACAAGGGATTGGGATTAGGTAGCCCTGGCACGATCATATTTGGCAAAATTGTCAAGTCTAGATCACAGCCGTCGCTCAGCCTACTTCGTATGAGGATCATATTGTCAATTCATGAATGGTAATTGATCGAGCTATTTGATTTCCGATTTTGGTAGTGATAAGGAAAATTGCAACACTGGTTTGCCGCTTATAATTCGAGTAGTAAATTGGTAGTCAATCGTTAGAAACTAAAAAGGTCATCGTTTAACTACTGATTATAGTCGTACAATTAGTTTTTGAAGACAGAAAGTGTCCAATTCCCGTTAATTTAACTTTAAGTGAACTGATCTCGACAAAATTCAGAATAACTCATATTTTAACTTCACACTGTGGACTCAACGTTATTCTAAACTTGCATTCAAACAAAATAGTTTTAAGGTTTAGCTAAACTAGATTAAGTCCCCGTTTGGTAAAAATTAATATCAAGAAATTAATCCATATCAAAGTCAACAATTAATTTTAATTACATATTTTATGAGACCACAACTTTTTCAACAACACATTTCATCAATTTTTATCAAAATTTATTAAAAAATAATATTAATTCTCATCGAACACGAGTAAATTGACAAGCCTACTTAATAGGTAACACACTAGGATGACATTTTTAATAAGTTTTTACCATTTCGTCACAATTACTACGCCCTCCAAACTAATATCATTTTTCACCGATTCAACATTTTTTTCCTACATTATAATATCTGATCAAGATTTCTGTAGATAATAAGTTGTGGGTCCTACAAAAAAATGATAAAGATCGAAAAAAATCGTGGATAAAATTATATTATAACCTACTTATATGCTTTAAAAAACTTTATCTAACATAACATTAATCTTCCCATTTCCCAGAAGTAGGTATAGATCTAATCAGATTAGTATCGGAATTTGATAATTTGAAAGTGATATTTTGAATTAAAATATTTTGTCCCAAAAATAGAAAGTTAAAAACTACCCATCATCCACGATTCCTTCTATTACCCATTCTACCCTTAGCTTGGCCTGCATAATGACCAATTTACTCCCGGCAATGTTTCTCCTAAACCCTCTCGCATTGTTCTCTCAGTATTCTAAAAGGTGTAATGCGGGCGATGCATGAAGGCCAAGCTCAGGGTTAGGCGAATTTAGGCGAGATATATGCGTAAAAAAACGTTTTCTTATTTTAATATTATTTTAATTTTTAATCAATTAAAAATAATACTTACTCAACATTTAAAATAGATTTTTATTTTTGAGCTTTGGTTCAAATTCGATAAGCAAATAATTTTTCTTTTAATAACTCGGTGTCTTAAGAAATTATCTACCGAAAATAAGATTCGTTGGTCACTTGACTTTTGAGTTCAAATTGTTGTTTTAAATTTAAATTAAGGTAAACTGAAGAAATTAGCATATAATAATTTTTAATTTAAAAAGAATTGTAAAAAAAAAAAAAGCGTGACTAGGCGCGCATTAGCGGTCAACGACTGTCGTTGACCACCAAATAAGACACTAACTCATTAGGCTTGGCGTTTTGATCTCGCCTCACGCCTGACACGCCTTTTAGAACACCGACTTTTCCACTTATCTTGGACGAAGGGCAATACAGTCTCTGGACACAACTAGTGCATTATGAGATGGGATGAAATATCTCCACTTCCATAATTGGGTTGCCAAGAAAATGTCGAACCTCAAAATTTCATGAACGCGGAGCTAATGAGTTCAGTCGAACAACATATATAGTACATATCAGGGATAGATCCGAGATCAGACTAAAAACATTTTTAAGTCGGACTAATATGTAAAATAATATTAACAACACACACACACACATATTTAATATGTAGAGAAAAAATTACCCAAAAAAAAAAAATTCAAATGTGGTGGGAGGGAAATGGGCTAAAGCCCAGCCCAGCCCCCTAAATCTGCCACTGGCCCTGTCCGTAGACATTAAAATCAAATTTTTAATAGATTTTGATAAAAAATGATGAAATGTGTGATTGAAAAATTGTGGATTCTATAAAATATGTAATCAAAATTAATTGTTGAATTTAACTTAAATAAAAATTTTAATTTTAATTTTAATTTTCATCAAACAAGGACTATAATAAATAGAAGTTGAAGGACGTTCCTTTCATTTTAAACTACCCCAAATGGAGGGGTTCACCACAATTATATGCACAGTTGGGTTGCTTCGAGAACCCTCCGATAAATTTGATTACTAAGTCAAATTTACTCCACCGAGTTATTACTCCAACTGGATGAGATTTAGGTGCATACACTTGCCTATGGGCCCTACGAATTGTTGACAAATGACAAAAAATGATATCAAACAAAACCTTATTCGGCCTGTCCATCCATTCCATGATATCATCTGCTAGTGGGTCAATTTGCACCCACTGACACAAAAAAAATAAAACAATTATATATATATATAGTATATTTATTTTTGTATAGTAGAAGTTAGAAATAAATTTGTTACTAAAGTTCTTTTCAAAATAAGTAAACTTTCATTACTATAAAAATCAGTAATACAAATATGTAACATGTTTGGGAAACAAAAAGAAGTAGAAGAAGAAGAAGAAGAAGAAAAAATCGAGAGTGTTACCCTTTTTTTAATAGAAATATATTATATAATATGTTTAAATGAGATTGGAAGTTTATTTTCTTGTTTAAAGGTGGGTTGTATGTCACATTTGGCCAAGGTTGGAATGCATGCATAAGAACTTTTTAGGCTAATAACATGTTACTTCTTTTTTATTTTTGACTAAATACTTATTTAATTTTTAGCACAAGTAACTAGTTATGTTACTTGCTTTTTATATAGTAAACTAAGAGCCATGCTATGGGTACATAGAGATACACATAGGAGTTCACATAATGTGAATGGGGGTGGGGCCCTAGTATCGCGGGTCCCACCCCACTCACATTATGTGAAGCTTTATGTGTATATCTATGTACAACTAGAATAATCCGTAAACTAATAGATATTTTATGTAGATTCTTTGCAGGCATGGAGCAATGAGTTTAGAATATGTACAAAAGTTTCGAGGTAGATAGAACACTACAACAAAAATGTGATTTGGAGAGAAGATATTTTGCGATATACAAAAAGTTGTCGCAATAAGTGATTTAACACGACACGTTTTTTAAATTTGTCACAAAGATTGATACAAAAAAAAAATAAGTAACAAAAAATACAAGACAACATTAAAAGTCGTGAACACATGAGAAGGCAAACAAATAATAAAGATTGTCGCCAAAAACATTAGAGAAGCAAGGCGCCAAAATATTTTTAGGAGAAAACTTATGGCGACGAACTTTTATTTCTTGCAACTAAGGGGCTGTTCTCTTCGTATTTCAGTTTTTAGTTTTAAGTTTTGAATTCATTTTTAGTTTTGTATTTTGAATATCTGTTTTGAAATTGTTGAAAATACGTTCTTTTTGTAATTCTGAAAACCTGTTTCTGAAAATAGAAAACTGGAAAATACATTTACTTTGAAATTTTTAGAATCTTTTTTTATTCCTTCAGTATCCTAGAAATGAAGCATGCCTCAGCATATTTCAAGGCATTCAACCGAGTGTATGAGATTGTTAATTGAAAGCTAGGTCTTTTCTTCTCATAATGGTTGTATATGTGGCTCATATAGAGTGGAAACAAGTTTATTGGATCAAAATGGCCGATACCAAAGCATGTGTTTTTGCGACATATTTTGTCCGTTGCTTTTATTATATTTTGTAACGCTCTTTGCTTATTGTCTTAACTTCTTTTTTTGCAACGTTCATTCATTTTTTAGGACAAGTTTTTGTTTTTTTCATCTAGCTAAAGATGAAATTTTAATATGTATCTAATTTTTTTTACCAAGAGGAAAACTATTTAATAAAAG